CTGGCGCATCTTAGGACAGATGTGATGCCAGCGGATGGGATGACCAAGGCCTTGGTGAAGGCAAAGGTCGAGAACATGGTTAGGTTGCTGGGGCTGATGTAGCGCAGACGTGGCACGTCAGGGGGGAGTATTGGAGGTAAAAAGTGCGCTGACTGGGGATTGAACCAAAACCTCCAGGTATGCATCCCAGCTAGTGGTGGTAACCACTTCGCTATTTTGGCTTCCTTTACCCTGGTGACTTAGCCCCTTTAACTCTGCGCTTTTCCCTTGCATTTCCCATACTGTACAGTTGGTTCCCACGCTCCCAGAAGAGCGAAAATGCGCTCCTGAGTCAAGCTCTCTTCCTTAGCATTAATAGAGCTTGACTCAGGTATGTCCCTCTGTATATTTCTGTACTTCCTTAGCATTAATAGAGCTTGACTCAGGCATCTCTGTGTGTATCTGGACGCCTGCCAGCTTCCCAGTTGGACAGAAAGAGTGACCAAGTCATCAGATCTCAACACAGTCAGGGGGGAGTGTTGAGGTCATGTGACTTGGTCACTTGACTGAGGTCCAGAATGTCCCAGGTGAAGAACATACAAGAACACACTGGAACATTCCAGAAGGAGACTTGTCTAGAACAGTCTGGAAGTAGATCCATCTGGAACATTCCAGAATGGATCTATCTGGACCTGTCTGGAATGGACCTATCTGGACTCCTCTGGAATAGTCCAGGAGATTCCATGGACTTGACTGGACTGGTGTGGACTCTGCTGGAATGGTCTGGCTGGTCTTGGACTCTGAGTCATCCCTTAGTAACATTCCTTTACTCATCCCTTTCACATAGTATATAAGTAGGACCTGTTAGGTTTTGGTTGTATTGGATGCAGAGCCACTGGGACAAATAGGTACAAACAACTTGACTATGTACTGAGCCACTGTATTTCCTTTGTTCCTCAGTCCGTGCAATTGACCTTGCCTTCGGTTTGTGTATGTGTCTGGGCCTGGTGTGCTTATGGCCACCCATCTTATGCTTCCCTGTTCTGCCTGCTGCTAACAGGACCTAAGTCAGTCTGTGTCCCCTCAGTCTTGACACAGTTGACTTAGGTGAGTTGTATCCTATACCCTCTTTTGAATATAAAGTCTTGACACAGTTGACTTAGCCACTGGGCTGTCTGAGGGTTGCTTCCAGTAGCCTAACATCATAATGAGAGCAAAATTTGAATTCTGAAGGTGTACCACATGCCCCATTACCATATTTGGTAACCCATTACATAATATAGTGATGCCACAGTGAGCCTGTGGTGCTCCGGGGATCACCTGATTTTTCCCTGGTTTTTCCGCATTTGTTCCCATTTTATATGAGCTGCAAATTGCTACCTTGTGGCTGCCTGTGGACACTCCCATGCTATTGATAGCTCCAATAACATAGGCCCAGCAATATATTCCGATTTTTCCGCTATTTTTCGGATTTTTCCGGGCCCTGCAGCTGCAGGATTAGAGGACCTGCTATTAATGGCCCCCTGGGCCTTTCCCCGGAGATACAGATCCATCCCCGATCCCAGTCATCAAGCCGGGATGCCGGGGCAGCCAGGTTCAAACCCAGCTGGCACCTCTCAGGCCTGCAGAGCATAATGCATTACACCCTCTTCACAATGCCTGGGTAATGTAATACATTTTGTCATTGCAATGCATCTATAATGCATTATCACTACAGTAAGAGGTGGGCTGCTTGATCCTCAGCCACAATGGCATGGCACACGAGTCTCCCGGCGCCTAGACTCATACAGCACCCGCCTCCGGGCTGAATCCTCACATACCTCCCTCCGAAGTAGCCTGTCTACTTCTCTGAGTCCTCGGGAATGTCCTTCAGAGTAGTACTAGTGTTGTCTTGATCGTCGTAATCAACTTCTTCATCTGAAGAGTAATCATGAATTAAACCGTGTTCGTCAACAGTGGGCCCTTTCTTCTTGACGAAGCGCAGCCCGGACAGAGGCTTGGGGATGCTGGGTCCAGCATCTCCATTCGGGGAAGTCGCAGTGGGACTAGCCATTCTCTCGGTGTCCTTCATAGCCACATCTGTATTTCCGGAGATGGAAGGAGCAGGAGTGATGGCCAGAGGAGTGATGGCTGGAGGGATAGCCGGAGAAGCCGGCGGGAGAGGGGGAGAGAGACGCTGGGATGCTCCGATGCGTGCCTTCTTCTTGCCTTTTCCATGATGTTTCCCACCTCGTGGAGAGACATCGACGTCGTAGCCCGCGTCGCGGAGGCGCTTCTTCTCCTCACACTCGTGCTTCTCCTTCTGTTGTTTGGTGTCCCACTCGACCGCCCTCTTGAGTTGTAGAGACTGGTATTTGCGAAGGCAGTCTAGCTCATCAGGGGATATCATGTCTTTGTTGGTAATGAGATGGGGTGTGTTACCGATGAGGAATCCCATGGTGCACATCTCGGTGCCTGGAGTGATATGACGAGTAGATATCTTGATCTCAGGAACACGAAGCGGCCCATCATTGAGATTGAAGGCTTGCATGAACTTGGTGTAGCCGCCAGGAACTGTGAGAGTCTTTGGGAGATTGCTGAGACGCAGGAGCTGTTGGAAATCCCAGAAGGCCGCTATCTCGGAGTGAGTGAATGAGATCCGGTAGTGCTCGCCAGCATCAAAGATGACTTTGCCGGTGCTGAAGTCGCGAGTCATATGTGGGAAGTCAGAGACACGAGCGGGTGCCGACATATCAAGTCCCGACAAAGCAGCCAAGTCTTATCTCCAGTCTTCCATTCCACTTCAAAGGCAGAATCCTGCCCCTTCCCTTTATGGCATAGCACGCGATTGATCTCCCATCCAAGATCCCGTGGCGCCTGTTCATCCGTTATTAGGACATGTTCATCTGTCCTGCCCGGAAAGAGCCAGTCATCATTGGGCTCGTAGATTCGAAGTAGGGACGAGGGGAACATGTTGTGAATCCCCCAGGACTTCAGATTCGGGGGAAGCACAACTCTGTACGAGTTGTTACCGAAGTCTTCCTCGATCTGATAAGGGCCCATCCATTTCGGCATTAGCTTCTGTGAGAATCCCTTCGGGAACCAGAGGTTCTTTGTGGATAAGTAAACAAAGTCATTTACTTTGAATGGGGACGTCCGACGGCGTCGGTTGGCATCCCGCACTTGCTTAGTCTGCGCGGATATTATACTATCATGTGCGGCCATAATGGCTTGTCTGACCTTTTGAGCGTATGCCCGCACCGCGGGGTACTCATCAGATCTCACCCAGTTCCACACTATGGATCGTGGAATCCGTCCCATATTCAAAAAGAAAGGGGAGTACCCGGTACTAGCAGACCGCGCCATGTTGATTGCGAACTCAATAGTGGGTAGTTTGGTTACCCAATCGAATTGCTTCTCTCCGATACACTGCCGTAACATTTGTGTGACGGTCCTGATGGCCCGCTTGGTTGATCCATCAGACTGCGGATGATAAGCATTGGACATGCGGAGCTTTACTCCCATGAGGTCATGCAGCCGCGTCCAAAAGTGCGATGTAAACAACACATCCCTATCACTAATAATTGCCGTGGGGAGTCTATGGTGTTTATAGACCTCCGAGAACACCAGCTCCGCAACATGGCAAGCCTTGTAATCATCTCGGCTGGGTACTAGGTGCACCATAGCCGTGAGAAGGTCTATAATTACTGTGATCGAATCATAGGTTCCGTCCCGGTCTTTTGATTCTGGGAATGGCCCCATAAAGTCAATGTCAATGGCTTCCCATGGCTGGCTCGGCACCGCTAACGGATTCAGTAACCCATATGGTTTCTGCGTCGAAGGCTTGCTTCGATTGGATATCGCTATTTCCCGGGCACTTCATCCGTTAATAAGTATTTTGGGAATGCAGAGCACAAGATGCTCTTGTAGCCTTACATATACCTTTCCTTTGTCCACTAGGAAGTTCTTATATTCCCGGGGACTTTCTATGATACATTTAAGCCATGGGTCCTCCTCGTATCGATTAGTGATAACTGTTTCCCAACTAGTACCTGCATTGCCCGTGAGATAGTCGAGGAAATCATAATTGACTTCCTCCGCCTCATCTTTATTGGGGTTATGCACCAATGGCGGTTTTTCGCCAAAAGTAGCAATATGCTCGGCAACCTCCACTTGCGCTTGGTTTGTGTGGTTAGCCAGATCTGCATCTGTGTGGGGAAGTGGCTGTGCCTCCTTCCTTGTTTGGTCAGTAGCTTGTGTGCTCGGTTGAGTTCCGGTTTGTTAGGTTGTGTCCATGGTTCAAACAGCTTGTTTCTGGCCTTACCATCCGCTCTACTGCTGCACCAGACCCTATATGCGAGCCTTGTCTTGCTGGCAAGATGCACAGGCACAAGATCCCCAAGACAGCCTCTAGACAGCAGCAGAGACTTGCTCTGGTGCACACTGATCTCAAGGGACCTATGCCTACTGCGACTCCAGAGGGCTATCTCTACTGGATTGCCTTTGTGGATGATGCTTCGCGTTTCTGGGCTGTCATGTTCCTGCGTCAAAAGAGTGAAGCCCTGAGTGCCTTCAAGACGTTCAAAGCCTATGCAGAGAATGCAACTGGCTGCAAGGTCAAGATCCTGCGCGATGACAAGGGAGGGGAGTACAAAAGCAATGCCTTTGATGCCTTTTGCGCAGAGCATGGGATTCAGCGCCAGCATACAGAGACAGATGAGCCTCATCAGAATGGAGTTGCAGAGAGGGCTAATCGCACCATTGCAGAGGGAGCGACCACCATACTTCACCAAGCTAAGCCTCCTCCCTCATTCTGGGCTCGCGCTGTCAGCACTTTTGTGAGGACGCGCAATTGCATGCCCACAGCTGCCTTGAACGGCGCTATACCCTTTACTGCATGGAAGGGAAACAAGACCAAGCCAGATGTGTCCTATTTTCGCATTTTTGGTTGCCTGGCCTATGTGTTGATCAGGAAGGACCAGAGGAAGGCTTTACAGCCTCATACTCGCAAATGCATCTTTGTTGGCTATGCTGCTGGAGCAAAGGCTTGGGAGTTCTGGGACCCTGTCACACAGAAGTTTTATATCAGCAGCAATGCTGTTTTCGACGAAAGGTGCTTTCCAGGCAACTCCAAGTCGATCAATGTCTTTGGATTGCCTCTATCTGATGTTGATATCCCTCACACTGATGATGAAGATGCTTCTGCGCCTCACAACCTCACTGGACCATTGCCAGATCAGGGGGGAGTTGACTCTGATGATGATGATCTGCCAGCTCCACCTCGTCCTATTACACCACCTCCAGCGCCTCAGGCGCCTTTACAGCCACCACCAGCTCCTAGAAAGCCTACACCAGCTCCAGCTCCTAGACAGCTTCCACCTCGCAGCTCAGGACGAGATCCAGGCTTTAGTGGACAATGAGGTCTTTGAGCTTGTTGAACTGCCTCCTGGTCGCAAAGCTATTGGCAGTCGCTGGGTGTTCAGAGTCAAGCGCAATGCTGATGGCTCCATTGAGCGCTACAAGGGCCGTCTAGTCGCCAAGGGCTTCTCACAGCGCCCTGGCTTTGACTACAATGAAACCTTTGCCCCTACACCAAAGTGGGCATCTATTCGCACTATCCTCGCTCTAGCAGCTCTAGAGGACTTGGAACTCAAGAGCATTGATATCTCTAGTGCCTACCTCAATGGGGAACTCAAGGAGGAGGTCTATATGCACCAGCCTGAGGGCTTTGAAGAGAAGACTCCTGAGTGGGTCTGGAGGCTGCAAAAGTCGCTTTATGGCTTAAAGCAAGCTGGGTGTTGCTGGCATGAGAAGCGGAATGAGGTCTTGGTCAAGTTGGGCTTCCAGAGGCTGGTGTGCGAGCAGTGTGTGGGTGTACAGGAAAGGCGACGTTAGGATGTTCATTCCTGTCTTTGTGGATGACATCACCATTGCAGCCAAGTCAAAGGACACCATTGCCCAGGTCAAGTCTGACTTGAAGTCCCACTTCAAACTTCGCGATTTAGGCCCTACCACATGGCTACTGGTGTACAGATAGAGCGGATAGATCAAAGCACTCCCTTAGCATCTCACAGCGCCAGTATGCCCTGGATGTCTTGCAGCGCTATGGCTTCAGTGACTGTGATCCTGTCAGCACTCCTATGGGACCCTGGAATGAACTT